TGGAGGTCGCGGATAAACAGATAGTAATCAAATAAAGAATTACTATTGGTAAAACTATTATTAAGTTTTTGCTATACTAACGAGGCTATCACATTAACATTATTATTTATTTGTTAAAAATGTTTACTTAAGTAATTACTTTCACTTGACTATAGATAAGGGTGTTAATCTACATGACTCGAACAGAAAAATCTCAACAAAAAAACATCTAAAAGCATTTTCTAGAAACCTATGGAAAACCAAAGATGGATACGGTTTTATCTGTGCTAGCAGCTGACTCATATTAAACATAAAATGAGAAGCCCATTGTTATCTTGCAGAGAAAAAAGATCGGCCTACAGTTTGGCAATTGAATTAGGTCAACAGATCAAAATAGACGCCAAATAATTCGTCAATACATTACCTTGATTGAAGTCAGTTAGTTACACTACTGCCGGTCTCGAGTAAAAAATATGCAAGCATCATAAGCATCTTACATATATAATATATTATTGCATTACATACATTGTTTAGATCCCTAACCAAATATCTGGTGTTACGATAATCTGAAACAAAAAAGGTACCACAACCTCCAGACGCGGGGCAATGTAGAAAATGAACCATTCTATATTTCCTCGGATCCCGATTGGTAATCTAACTCTGCTTGTATCGTTCTGCAGTAAAAACTATAGACTTTTAAATGAAAAGCTAGTACCTAGAAAAATTTCAGTTATCTGATCTATTGCCTCCTACACATTTCTGCAACATAATATGGTGGTGACTATATTATGTTGAGGAAATTATTTAAAGAACAGGCATCAAATTTTCAATTCACCATTTATTCTCTTAATTATAAACACTCCTTTTATAGGAAAACATTATAAAAATATAAGCAACTTTGTACCCTAGAAAGATTAAGAAATTTTACGATAAACGCTTTGCGAGGAATTAATATTTCTGACGTCATGATCTGTCTCTGTTCGCCTGTTGAGTGGCTTGGTTCCGTCTCTTTTTATCTTTGCGTTTATACGCAGTCGTAACTCTTTTGTAAATAGTCTGGTGTGAAAATGACTAACTGCGCTCTATCTATCCAGTCATCCGCTTCATCTACTTCCATTTGTCTTAGACGGAGCCGTTTCCGCGCATTTATCAATCCCTGCTCAATTAGTATTCAAATTATCTTTCCTCGTCGACAACTTGTGATTTGTATAGTCATTAGATTATGACATTCATTTTTTCAGGCTGCATAACACGGAAGATCATATTCGACCTCTGAGTTTAAAAAGTTTAAAAATAGGCCATTTTAAAGAAGAGGTGAAACACTTTTGGTAATCTGTAGATAATAAAAGAATATTTAATAATCGTTTCATAACATATGGTTTTTTAGATTAGATTTTATGTCTGTCCTGCATCAAAAAAAAAATACAGTTTCACAAATTTTTGGTACATGTTGTTATTGATATTCGAAATATTATTTTCCATTATGTCTTTTAATCTTTTGCATGATTATTTAATAACTATATGTGACATAATATTCATCAATTATTTTACAACGAAAACTAAAATCTTTCGTGACATAAAATAATCAGTTATAAAAACCTATCCAACTTAAGGTTTACAGACTTCATTTCAGTATTATTAAGGTTTGCGATCATATATTAGTAATAGATCGATCATATGATGATGCGGATATAAGTATTTTAATTTTAGCTCTACCTTTATATAAGCATCAACAGTGTCAGACGAATCTTAATTGATCCAGATGTTTCTTTGTATCGTACATTAAGCACTGCCAAATGGGATGGTTTCCAGATTTTTATTAATTCGTATATAAGACTATATATCTATACTTATATTATAAATAGTAAAGATTTTATTGTTCGTTTGTTTTCATAGAAGAGGCTCCGTACACGAAACTACTTACCGATTTTAAAAATTCTAGGACCAATTGGAAGCTATATCATACGCAGGTTAAAGTTATAATTCACGCGTGAGAAGTAAACTTTTAGTTAAGTATATAAGTGATATCTATATAAATAATCAATTAATTTTGCTTTGCCACTGTTAAGGCACTAGTTTTACTCCTTAGATAATCGCATAGGTAAAAGTGACTATTACCAATGTAGTTCATGCGGGCGGAAAGGATTTAATGCTGCGCATAAAAACAAAAGACTGTCCTTATTTATTTATTGCATCTCGAAGGAGTTATATATAGGCAGAAATGGCATATTGTAGGGTGTTTAGCAAAATCTTAAATAGAAATTCTTTAACATTTTATCTATATATGAGACTGACGTCACCCACTGCATGTATGCAGTTATGAGGACTGTCGTCTTAATGTAACCTGGTGTAGTATTTATATTTGAGTAACTCTGAAAAGTTTTTAGTGATACATTATAGGTTATATATTTTAACGTTATCGAAAATTTGTAGCAAGTGATGGCAGCCGATGGATTTGATCTAATGAATTTCCTTGTGTCAAAAAAATAATTATTCTGCACTTGATGCGAAAGACTAGAAAGGGGAACTATTTGAGCTCGCATTAAAATAAAATAAAAATCTTCAATTGTTAATTACAAAGGTAACAATTTTATTTATTCCTCAAACCGGATGTGTAGCTTACCTGAAAACAACGTATGTGCCAATGAGTTATAATTAACTTCTTAATTCCCAGGCTCGGAGTTTATTTCTGTACAAAAGTCCTAATGTATCATTGTCATTATTGGTATCTTTCTTGAATAGTTGCCTATTGAACAAAACAACAGTAGTATTTGTCAAAGATACAATTATAATGACCCTTATTATATTTAAGTAATAAAGGTAGATATAATAAAATTTCATAGTTGAGAGTATTAATCATACTTTTTTCAGTACCAGTTACATTTAAGGGAATCTATAAAATTAAGGTAATTAAATGCTGAGAATAAATATATTTTTTCTAATTTTTATAAAGATATCTTAAAAAAGAGAGGGCTTGTTGGTACCGTTGTTATCACAGGAAAGTTTCACTGTAAATTGAACTAAAATCTAGAGGAAATATGTTAATTCTGTTACCACTTTCTAAGCTACACTGCCAAATTATAATCTAATCTTTTTTAGACACACGTGATCAAATAAATGTATAAACTATAGTAATTTTATAAAAAGGTAACATTTTATTGTTTCTTTTTTTGTATTTAATAGGTTCTAAAACTAATTGAACTAATTTAAAAAGCTACATTATACAAGTGGGTGACATAAGATATAATTTACTAGGGTAAAGACGCAGGAAAACAGTTATAATTAATACAATAATTATAATTTATATAATAATCAAACTGATTGCTTTTCTTAGTAGCTCGGTAGCGTAGTGGATTAGCGCTACGACCCGCGATCGTTGTTGTAAAGCAACTTTTGCAATTGTCGGGCACGGGATGGGTCACCAATAAATTATTATCTCTTACTTCTCCGTGTTCCGGACACGTTACGCACGTTAAACCGTTGGTCCCGGCTGCATTGCCAGTTCTAAACACCCTTCAATCCATATTGAGCCAGTGTAGAGAATCATGACCCATCCTCCTTAACCACCCACAAAGAAGGCCTGAGTGCAGCAGTGCAGTGAGTATTTTATATAGTACCTATGATACTACTGTCACTGTAATGTGCAAATTTTACTTCACTTAAAATTAATTTTATTAACACTATTGAAATTCAGTTTTATAGTATAAAAACAAAATTCAGCAATTATCTTGTAGCTAAAATTTGACCATCGAATCGTATGGTGGTCTAATAAATATCATAACGTCAGTATAATGGTGGCTGTCAACTTCAAGATGTGAGGAAATAGCGGCGCGGTTGGCTATGGGCTGTTGAACGTCCTGGTGAACAACAAGTGCATCGTCGGCGATAATACCTAAAGTTTTTAACTGAACATCTCGGAAAGGAAAACGAAAACGTGGTAGACCTTACAAACATTGGGCCGATGACATATCGGCGCAGGCAGGAACTCGGTGGTACATTAGGGCAAAGGACAGAAAGGAGTGGTCAGGGATGGAGGAGGCCTTTACCCCTATTAGGGATTCTCAATAATAGAAATATCAATGGATAATGATCAAAATTGGATAGTGAATAATTATGAAATTCAAGCAAATTTAATTTAATGATATACATAACTTTTTTTCTTAATAAAATTCAAATATTATTATAAATGACAAATTAATAATGTATTTGTATTGAATAATGAATGAATTTAAATCCTATATATTTAATCTTATGAAACTGAAATTTGTATGAGAATCAATAAAAGGCTTTTTTATTTATTTATTTTTTTTTAGGACTCTTATTGTCACGATGGATATTCCCACAACTCTAATGTAGTTGTGCAGTCATATTATCATGATCTACCCAGGTCGGTAACCCACATGGAACTGTATAACGTGCATGATCTTGAACAGTGCGTCATATTTCGAATATGGATACATTAATCTGTTTTATAGAACCCTTACCTATATAATTTGTAAAAAAAAACACAAATAACTAAAATTTACGACGAAATCCTATTGCTAGCCTGCTTGCCGCGGTGTTGATTAATTACTGTAATATGCAGCTATTCAACTCATTTGGCATCAAATATTAAATATTTACTTTACAGCTGAAACATCTTAATTATTCATGCGTGTAACGGACATGTTGAGGTTGACGTTAAAGCACAATCGTAAACATGTTACATAAAGAAATGTCAGAAAAAAACCGCTAGAATTAGATTTTTTTTAACGCCCCCTCGTGGACATACATAAATTTTATTAGAAGAGATAACTTTTTAAACGATCTGTATACGAAACGTCGGTCTTGTTCAACGTCACCGCGCTTACGTATTACACAATTAAAATAAATCTCAAAAGTTAGGCCACAGAGTTGAGTTTTCTTAAAATAAAAAAAGGTATTTGCCATTTGGCACAGTAATTAAGAATGGTGAGGAATCCGTTGATGCACGGCCGTTGTATTGACAGAAAATCATTGGCAAAACAGTATCGCTTGCGACAGGCGGGTGGGGTCGAAGGGAGATAATTTGGGAGGCTGCGTACGACACCAGGGCGTAAGCGCACCAGTCGTAGACGAACGATCAACCAATCCACTCGTGTCTCCATTACCCAGTGAGGTACGCAGGCATCGTGCAGTGTCAGCATAATATTGTGCGATAAGTGAAAGTGAAATTGCCGTGATAAGTGAATCAGTTGAATAATATAAGTGCTTTTCTTTAGAGTACTCCTTCTCGAGATGTGGGATGACGTAGAGGAAGAAACTCCTGCACAGCCCGAGCCAGAACCGGAACCGGAAGCGGCGCCTGCTGCCGCTGCTGACAATGCCTCAAAAGAAGAGGCCGAGCCTCCTGCACCCGAGAATATTGTATTGGGCACTGAACCCAAAAAACTAGTATTCAAACACTGGATAAGGTAACGTACATAATTGATAGACATTAACATAGTCTATGTATAATAGCACTAAGATATTCCTTGCTTTTCGCATTCCAGGCCCAAATTCCTCCAATACGCCTACCTCTACGACTACAGGCACAACTATTATGATGACGTGATTAACTACATGAATAGGCGGAATCAAGGGCTACCTGTTGAAAAGCCTAGAGCGCAGACATGGGCCGAGCGTGCTCTCAGGACTTACATCTCCAAGAACATCTCGAGTTATAGCTCGCGCAGCTCCAACAGGGACACAACCCTGCTCCACCACATCTCGACTGGCGCTCGTTTCCACCGATACCACAGCAAGTCCCTCATCTCGAGGAAGTATTCCACACTAGGATTTAACACAGTCTCCATTTAGCTTCGCTCTAACACCCCGCTTGACCTGGCTTCACGGACTAACCATGGCCCACCGGCGTGACCTCTCTCTCGATGTTGCAGGATCTCGTTGGTGTGAACTGTGAAACCGCCTCCAGACTACTCCTTCGGTGTGAATGATCTGTTCGGAAGCCGTCCGCATTCCTATTTTAATCTGTCTTGTTTATAAGACAATAAACTATTAAGTTCAACATGGTAGTTTTATTTTAGCAAAAGCTTGCGTAACGAATTTATAGATACATTTTGTTCACATAAATTTTGAACTTGCGATGCGAAATGACTGATAATTACATAAGCTAAGCGACGTTTAACATTTTTTGACGATGATAGCCTGTAATGGACGTCAAGTATTATTTATTTGGTATCTACATAATTTTAGTAATAACTACAATTTAGTTCTCTAAGACTTTCAAATAAAGCTAACAACTCTGTTTGAAAAATTAATTGATAGTCGTTGCTGAAAAATTCCTTACAATTACAAATAAGAATAATGGCTTTTAATCGACCTGAGACGCTGGCTTATAACGAATAATCAGATAAATTGCTAGATAAATGACCCCATTACCGTCCTCTGAATAATAAATCTGGTCGAGACGATTCATTAATAAATTTGATTTATATTTTAATGAAATAATTTAATTGGCGGTTTAAGAAAATTGATATATCACTAAAGTAGTTATTTGAATTTAATAAAAGTTTTTACTATATAGTTACCGGTGGATGAACGCACTTAAAATAATCAATAAAAAATAATTCAATCTTCAAATGTAATAAAATTTTAAGGAAATGAAAATGTTTTAACTAATAAAAACAATAGGAATTAATTAAAGGAATAACATATGTCTTATTTATGTTAAAAACTTTTCTAAAAAAGTGGTGTCACCAAAACCAATACAAATAACAATACATTTTCGTAGTATATTTATTGACAAATAATTTAGAAAGCTCCTTGGACGAGTGGCTCGTACGTTCGATTCCCGGTGGGGTCAATATAGAAAATTAGTTGTTCTGTATTGTCTCGTGTCAGGGTACTAACTTCGATGTTATAGATTTCCAAAAAAAAAGTAGACCAACAAGAGCTTCAGCTACTTAATTAGAGATCAAAGCAATGAACGTGATGTTTTATCTATCTATATCTTCACGCCATATCCGTTGCGGAGTAGGCAGACAGGACCGAACGCCACAAAATACGGTTCCAGCCTCATCTTTTTATACTCGCCAGGCATAAAATTTGTGACATCACCTTCTAAGAGCACGCGATTGATTTGATAGTGAAAGATGTATCGTGGCCTTCCTTGACTTTTGCGTCCTTCCACTTTCGCGTTTATATCAGTTTTGTCATTATTTATTTTTCTTTTTTAAATAAAATACTAATTATAGTGAATTAAACTGCTGTCTGTGATATAATTATGAGAAATATCTAGTTTTATCAATGGTTTTTGAAAATTGGACTGCTAACAAAACCGTCCCTTGCAGGATAGGTAAAAGAAATTTAGTGCCCATATTTTATAGAAATTAAAAAATATAATTCTCCGGATTTTAACATCTGTCAAATACGAATCTTTGGACATTCATATGATCGATGAATAAGTGAAACGAAAATTACTCAATGTGCAATTAATGAGTTACATACGATGCCGTTTGTAAATCTAAAACATAGTATATAATGCCACTAATAGGACCAGCAACTTAGAAATCTAGTATCTTAACATTTGTTCATTATTATCAAGCTATTAATGCGATCGATGCTGAGGCAGATGCCTTCCTTATATATGAAATCAAACAAATCGAATAGAAAGCAAGGGATACAAATAAAATATGTTAAGCGACTCTAAATACACAGTCTTTCAATGTCAGAATGGTGACACATCAACATAGCATCTGAAATTCAACATTTCAATGTCAGCTTATCTAAAATAACTTATCTTTGACAGTTCACTAAATGTAATAGTTTGGGTAAGTGCCAAACAGTTGATCTACCTAGCAGGTAAAACAGGCAATCAGCCAAATTGCAGATAATTAAATGTTACAATGACCAATGCAGCCTAGACATCGATTAGATAGTACGAATAAAAATAGTAGCAAATTACGAAACACTGATCGATATGTCCATACGCATGTTGATGAATCGATCGAGTGAAGGGTACATATCGCATAAATGATTTTACTAATTTTATTCATTTACACTACACTACACTACTACAACTTATTAAATTATTTATTTCCTTTGAATATGGCTTTAATCGTTCGCTTACAATTCAACACCGGAATAATTAAACAATCCATATATCTAAGACAATTATAGTTGGATTTGACAAACACGTAAATGAACATAATTGACATGCGACATATTCCATCAAGATAATGACAGACAGAAAAGCGTTTCATATTTTTTTCACTTCCCTAACAGTAAAACTCTATAATTATGTTTAAAAATGATTCTCATGAGTATTTGACTGACAAGTCTTATACATTTCTAACGTGTCAATAATTGTTCATTTTAAATACTTTATAATATCGCAGCAATAGCATAACATTGATATTGCCACATCGATAATTCTTATTTAAAAAGAGGTTCTTAAATCTAGACGAAGAAGTTTATCTTAATCATTTCACCAAATGGATATTTTTACGTTGTTCTTAATTTAAATTTAATATTTACCAAGTTACGTAATAAAACTGATAATGAAAGTTAAAATATATTAAGGTCGCTTAATACTCCACAAAAAGCAGTTGCTTAATGGATGTAGAAACATAGAAACTTATCTAGTAGGTCTTTATTCGTTGAACTTATTTTAAATTTTGTGTATTTTTATTACGTAAATAATACACTTGAAAAAGTATTCATATGAAGCACAAATGTCAAGTTCTTTATATAGATAGTAAATCAGCATGAACAGGTTAATGAGCCAGCCATCGCTTCGCTCATCTATATTTTAGGGAACGTAACGTCCAGACACTCACAATACCACACAGAGATTTTTAAGAGAGCATGGCACTCTCAGTTATGTAACATAATAATTAAGGATATAATTACCTATACTACCTATATAATTACCTACAAAGAATATTGTATTACCTACACTGAGATTTAAGTGTTTATAAAACAAAAAATCTAAAGGTAGCTAAGCTAAATAAATCCATATATATATACAGAATATTTTTGAATTATTCACATCTATTAATAATAATTTGCTTAAACATAAAATTACATTTACAACACTAGAAGCAATATTTGTATTTTTGAGTCTATCACGGTGTATTGAATTGTGCCGACAACCTTCAACAAAATGGAGAAAGTTATATCTTATAAAATCTCTAGCTGTAAAATTCGTAAGTCAAAATACTCTTTTGTGAGTTTCTGTGAGGTTGATGAGGCTTGGACCTTAAAATAAGGCACCCAAAAAGTTCTGAAAACCTTGAAGATGTAGCTATGGATGTAACAGAGTAGATCTTCAGTATTCTTAAGTAGTTCCTTAAGTTTTCTTCGAAAAATTATAGAGATGATGTTACGGAACCTTAAACCTTCGTGAGCAACTCCGACTGGCACTTAGCCTTTTTTTTTACCTCATCCATTACCAGACCTTTAACTAATAGAATAATGACCATGACACATATCTGTATTTTAGGACATAGCGCACATGTAATGATTTAAGTAAATAAAATTAGATCATCCCGTTAATGCAATGCGGAAAACGAAAAAATATAAGCTGAAATAAACCTTTAAATTTAAGTACAAGGACGATTACATGAATAGCGATATATATTCTTAGCCGTTAATTACGTAAAGAAACCCACTAGGAAACTAGGGAACTCAGCATGAGTTATGTCAGAAGCCAAGATAATTTATTATTACACAGTTTGGGCCAATGTCTTGGCCTACCTATTTTTATAACACATCTGTGAAACAATTGTATTTTGCGTCTTTCGACTATAGCAAATTTGGATTCTGTGACATTTATAAAGTGCTGGGCTTAAACATTTGTTATGCAACAAAAATTGGAACAATATCTTTTAATCATAATATGATTAAAATATATTGTTCCAATATTAATATTATCAAATTAGTATATTTAATTTTGTATCTGGAATGTTAAAGCAGCTAAATAAATATAATAGATACTAATTGACATATGTATATAACATCTGATGAAAATTTAAAAATTATGCTCGTTTTGATACAGCAAATAAAGAATCATATCATACACTCAACTTTTTAAGGTAAGATCATCTACTCTACTTTCAAACAAATTTTAAAATTACTGAAAAAGGCGTTAAGTATTTTTTTTTACTAACAGAATAATCAACCTAGGTAGTGAAGTTTGGTACAATTTAGATACTTGGTTATTAAATTAACAACAACTACTTATGTTGAATATAGAATTTTTATATTGAAAATCTTGGATTCCTTGACGGAAACAGGTGACGCTGCTCAAATATCGAAACCCCTACCAACTGACAGTTCCCACAATTCGAATAATATTCTGCAGGTAGTAGTTATGCGTGATGGGTGCCAACAATGTAATTGAAAATGTGGAAAAAAATATCTAAATATTATAATGAAAAAATAATATTCGCATCAGATTGACCTTATGGTATCAAGGAGGTTTGTGACTTGAATTTGCGAATATACGCAACCTCCTTTATATTTGTTTTGTTTTGGTAATGACGAAGAATAAGACTCCAAAAAGTAAACTCCTCCTTTCGGTTTTAAAGTCTGTTAAAAAGAGGATAGTAAGAATAAGATGGATTGGCGGTTTTATATAGTACCTATGTATCGTAAAATATGGTTACGTGAAGAGATAGAACTCTTCACGTAACCATATTTTAGGGAACGTGATGATTATAAATACTATTTAACGCTTCGATAAATAATGCATGATAGTGGTTAATTAAAGTACGGAAACTATAAACCTAGTGTAATTGTATGTGATCACTGTGCGTATGATATTTTATAGATGCAGAACTCTTGACAAAAATGTACAACAGTTTGGTAACAGTATTTCTAAGTTCTAAGAGCATTACTCAATACCCAATGCGAGGAGCAGTTGCACAAATCAAACTTCTAGCTATGATTGAATATGTTTATATCATTTCTGATTTCAGATTCCATCTCTGAGTATTTTTTTATCTTAGACAATTAGTAATATTGTATTAAAGGACATTGCTCAACGCACATTGCACATTGG